TGATAATGTAACACTTCTTCTTTTCTTTCTCTTTCATCAAGATTCAGGAAGAATATTATAGATTGTTCAAAAATGTTCCCTGTTGTTTTGGATGTTTAAGGTAAACACAAAGAACTCCAAATAATTATAGCTGCAAAGAAGTGAAAAGTCCAAGCTGCAAATGACCCCTGTGTGAAAAAGAATCAAGCTTCTTATTCAGTTAATAATTACTAAATAATTGAGTATTTCAAACCAGTATTTCTGTCCACAGTAAGAGATGGAGTTAATGGGAGGTAAAATTCTGTACCACAAAACTACAGTATGTTTTCCTGTACGGCATAGTTAGTTATGTCAAAAAATAGTGCTGCAGATATTTGGAAAGTAATTGCCTTCTCAGGAGTGTGATATCACTGAGCCTAAGGAAAGATTTTCTTTCTAACACAAGAAATATATGAATGTCCTGAAGGTAGCCACTGGCTGGATATTTTTGTGACTCATGTTGCCTTTGAAACCAGTCTCCCACAACCTAAAGTAATGAGCTCTGTTACAGAAAGTGGGTCATCAGAAAACTGAAGGGGCAGGCCGTAAAACAGTGAAGGGGAACTGATCTTCTAGCAAGGGGTTCTTTGAATAAACTTGTTTTTCTGTAAACTTGATTAGAAATATTTGAAACAAAATAAGGAATTAATGTATCCTACTATGTTGTGAATCGTTCTGAACATAGATTTCTATTTAAAAACCAAGATCCAAATTTGCTCTATCCGTTTTCTTTTCTAATATTCTAAAAAAAGTAACTCCACAAATGAGAAATACAAGGATAGCATTTTTAAGCTAAGTTAGATTCAGGTATATGATATTTCTATTTCTACACTTATAAATTGTGATTCAAATACATAGTAAAATACAAATGTGCCAAAATATAATACTGTTTATGCCTTCACTGTAAAAATAGTGTGTATGGAATTGAAATATTTTGCTCTACAACCTTTCAGCATAAGGAAAATTATCCTACATTAGAGCAGTATACTTGAATACTTTATTGTTTTTACTTTTAGAAACAGTATAGTTCATGATGCAATGGTTCCTTTTAATTTGCTATTTTTAAAAGGACATTGTAAATATGAAATTATTCATGACATGGACTGCTATTTTTATGTTCATAAAAGTGCACATTTAGAATGTAATTTATAACATAGAAATCTTTGAGTGCTGTCAGCATTTTCACAGTGGATCTATTTTCTGACAGCTCTCTACTTAATCTAATAAAG